TACCGGGCCCCACGTGCTCATCAGCACTCTCTCCAGCCATTCATCATCAACCTCCCCTGCATGATCACAGCCGTCCATTCCTTCCTTCCCAACTACCATCCCATTATTACTCCACCCGCATTCACTCGTACACGCCCCATTCTCCGGCGATCCCCCGGTTTTTCTGGCGGGCCTGACAAACTCGACGCCGGCCATCACGGTTGACGCCGAGTCAGAAACCGACGCCCCGCAGCTCTCGCTCTTCCCATTCCCGACCACCAGAGACGGCGTCGGAAATGTCGCCGCCGGTGAAGACGGTTTGGTGCAATCAGAAGTAGCTGTAGTGGTGGTGGTACCGGCGGTTATCTCCTTGTAGAGCTCTTGCATGACCTCCTCAATCAACTCTTCTTTAATGGGAATCTCCGGCAAGAGCTCGTCAATGAGCTCCGGCAACTTTCCGGCGATCTTGACGGAGATGGCAGACTCCGGCGGAGGAGACTTTGGGGCAGCTGCTTCCATGCGCTGGGACTCTGATGAGAGAGAGCAGAGTATGTGCGTGAAAAAGCGAAAACAAGTGGATTATAAATGGGGGAGTAAAGCACGTACCACGCTGGCAGGACTGTGCCACGTAGGAAGACGTGGACCCGAGGTGATGACTTGACGTGAGCGTATTTATGTCGGGTGAAGTCGTAACTGAAACTGAGGAATCGGAGTCAGATTTGGGAGTAAGAGAAGGATTCGTGATTCTGTGCGGCTGACATGTATCACTTGTCCTGTGTACAACCGTTGATTTTCTCTTGACCTTTTTTGTAAACGGATCCGATGGTCCGTGTTTGGGGTAGTTGGACGACTTCAAACAGTGGAGGTGGATGTCGTATAAAAGGGACAAGCCCTTCCAAAGTGGACGGGATTGTCATTTCTCACTGAGAAAAACTTCGATGTAGAGGCATGTTACCTTTGGGAGTGATCATCAAGTTGGTCAAGCTATCACAGTCGTGATATCAGTCGCACGACCGTAGGGGTTATTCTCGGCAATTATGCTTGTGAAACTAAAGTGCGATAGTGGAGGTGATTCTAGTCATTCACAATTATGAGACTCACAAAGTAAGAACAACCAAGAGTAATCACGCGAGCAACTGATCATAACATTTCTCGTGTTCTAATGTTATAGCTAGAGTTCTGTTTTTGAGGGAAAATGGTATCATTTCGAGTTTCCATGACAAAATCAATAGTGTCAACTTCTATATGTTATAAAATAGAACCTGGACAAAGTTACAGGACAATTGCAACACCAACATATCAGTCTTCAAATCCATGTCTTCTGCACAAATTTAGCACTGGTATATTCATGTATTTCTTGTATTACTGGTATTGTACATATTTAGTGGAATCCAAGATTACATTTAGATTTGCCTAAGTCGAAGCGGGCTAGGAAAAATGCTCAGTTAATAATACGTCACTTGTACAACAAGAACCGATGAATGGATAAATACTTTGAGAGTAAGTTCTCCATAGCTGGCTCCAGGTGACTTCATTTTATCTTCTAAGAAACGAGATTCTGTCAGTGGAGCCATCTGATCTTCCTCTATTACCGGCATTGGAGGGCACTGTGCCATAGTTCATTATCCGTCATCAGGAAGCAGAGTCGGACTTTTGGAGCACATTCTCATCGCATGAAGCTCTTTCAGCCTAATAGCTGGGTTGCACAAACCTACAAGTTTTCAAGAATTTTTTCACATCACTGCATCTTACCGATAAAAACCCTTTTCAAAACACTTCTATGTTGACTAATTCAACACAGTACACATAGAAGAAGCCAGGTGGTCTGTTCAAAACTATCAGACATTATTATTTGAACAATCAAATTCTTTGGTAAACAAGACATTTAGTGCTTTTCATTCGCTATATCCAAGATTTGAGTCTGGTATTTCTTATCACAAAGGCCCCAGATCAAGAGATCTAGGTAAAGTTTCTTTGTAAGGAAAATACTGGCCAATAATCCTGTTTAAAGAGCATTCGAGAGATTACTTCACATATCACATTATATTTTTCAAAGGTTTAAGTATTATATTAATCTATGACTCAAGCCAAAGGGTATGGACTATATTCGACGGAAAGAAGAATTATTGCACCAGTTTTCTCATTAAAGGATAACATAAGCCTCTGTCTATGTACATGATCATACCAGAAATCAACAATTGGTCTTTCAAATTTACAGTATAACTAGGAGGTTTTTTTTTTTATATACATTTTTTTTTTTTTTTTTTTTTTTTTGTTTTTATATCTGTGACTGTAACGATATGATCTGTTGGATAAAGTACCTGAACATTTTGGGATGTCCCAGACTGCAACGGATGTAGGTGTGCAGCGAGGGTCACATAATGCCCGATTATCCTCATGATTGACATTCATAGCAAGCATCCATGATCCAACCATGACGTCCTCATTGCTAAACATTCTCAAACTGAAAGACGGGAAATACATCTATCAAACAAAGGGACGTCCATAGCGAATGAGAAGCTAAAACTAAAGCCTAAGCCATATTTCACATGGGGGTTCTAAATATCAATATATAATTTTTTTTTGAAACGAGGCAAAGACTGACATAAAGAAAACACGAATAAAAACAGGTGGCTGACCTGCTATTTCTAGCGATTGCCAATGATGCTACCACCTCTGCAGACAGAACATAAATAGGACCAAAAGCATGCTGAAAGTATTCATTCCCGATTAGATGTCCTGATTTCTCATACCTGAACGGACATAATTGATGAATAACAGATGGACGGATTATTACAAAAAAATGTAAACCGAGCACAAAGGTAAACACTCTGGGATAACAAGTTGAAAACCAACAAACCATTTCATTTTAGGGTCAGTGACTACTGGTCCTTTCTTCATGCATCCAATGTAGGTTTGTGGATGTGTTCGTTCCTTGGCTAGAAGTGTTGCTAGTCGATCTGGAAAATTATGGAAACATCAGTAAATTCCAATGCATTCATATTCACGGCTTCATGACAGCATATAGTCAGGCACTATAATATACCTGGACGCAAATAAATGTCATCATTGGCTTTGACGTAGTAATCTGCTTCGAAAAGTTGAAATCCTGATTTGAAAAACGCCAACCTGCGAAACAGCGTGAGAAAGCAATATGACATGAACTGCCAAGAACACAAATCCATCATCAACGTGACAAAAACTTCAATAAAACCGACAAATCTTACGTTTTCCATGGAAGGTTTGGATATTCTTCATTGATATCAATAACCAAAAAGTCCCTGTACTTATCGATCTCTTTCTGAAGCTCTGCCATCTTCTTTGAGTCTTTCGATCGCCCAATAACGAACCTAAATGCTAAACCAGTAGCTTGTTCCAACCTACAAGGTAAAGGCATAAATTTACTCTCCCAATAAAAGGAGCTAAAAGACATTTCAATCAGAGCCAGATTGTTGATCTTAATCTTTGTTAAGCTAATCAAAATCAATAAATTAATCAAGATCAGCCCCAGCAATTGATCATACAAAACCCAGAAGTGATATCAAACAAGTGTACATAAACTATAAATTTAGTAACTTGACAAAATTTGATCGAAACCAATCAGATTAACTGCAAAATTTAGTAACTATACTGCAAAAAACTGAAATTTACCTCAAAAGGCCATCTGGGCCGGAAGGAAACCAAGTGTTCCGCAACGCTGCACGGCGATTGGCCGAGCCGAACCCGGTCTGAATTCCGACGAGCCCAAGAAGCTTGGGCCGATCAACCAAGCCACCATTTTTATCCCCGGCCTGCCGAGACTTCGACAGAGAGTAGAACCCCCGGAAAGTGTCGTCCGATTTGCCGCATCGGAAAATGGGAATGGGGGTAGGGCGGCGGAAGGCGGCGATGGCGAAGATGGTTCCGGCAAGGCCGATGAAGAGGGAGACGAGTGAAAAGACGATAATGGGCAGGGGAGTGCGGGTGGGGACAGTGGCAGGATGGGGCTTTAGGGGCTTGAGGAGCTTGGAGGAGTAGGAGGGGGAGGTGGCGGTGGCGGTGGCGGTGGGGAGAGAAGATTGGCGGTGGAAAAAGAGTGGCATTTTAATCACTTGGAACAGTTTGTGAGTGAGGTTTCCTAGATCTCAGGGTTAGAGGGTGAAGAGTGAGACTCAAGTCGCAATCTATTATTCAGTTGCAAAGTCTGAAACTTTCGGTGAGTTGAAAGAAATTTGAGGTTGGAAGTCACCATTCAAGTCCCTTTCAGTTTCCCTTTGCCTTCCTTCTTTTTGGGGTTTTTTTTCATTTACTTTTCTTTCTATCAGTTTTGGTTTTTCATTACCAACTCCAACTGGTTTTCCATTTTTCAGTTTCTTCTTCCAGAGTTCTCTTCTCTGTGCAAGACGGTTGGTTTTTTTTGGAGTTTTAACAACAAGTTCGTAGTTTTTAACGAAAAGTTACATTTTTACACTAAAAAAATTAAATTTTGTACTATTTATTTTACCATTTATTTTGTCATTATCATTCAAACTCAAAGTTTTCAAGTCATTTTCATTAGTTTTTCTTTGTTTTTTCTGTTGATGCTGTATCAATGACATATTATTCACATATATCTCGGTGCAAAATGTCTTTTTACAAAATACAAGCTTAACATGATATTCTTGATGATGTATCAATGACATAATACAATCGACATGTTATTGATATGAGTTGTACGTATCACACGGAACATAATTAAAAACCGGCTAAAAATGATAGATACACAAATTTGTGAATACTAAGTTTTCACCATTGTGATTTTTAAATTTATCTTAGCCAATTTTCTAAAGTTAATTAATTAAAAAAAAAGATAAGTTAAATTGTTTTAAGAATCATTAGATTAGTGAATGTAGTTTGGACTGAAAATTAAATAAATAAAATCAATTTTCAATAGTAGATGGTGGCCTAGTTGTTGGGACGAATTCCAGACTCGTATTTCATACGGCATGTTCTAGGTTCGATCCATAGTATTGATGAATCACACGATGATGCCTAGGCTGAAATGCCTCAATAAATTTTCTTCTCAGCCCTGAAAGGGTGGAGAAGAATTGCATTAGAGACACTTTGTTTTGTTTTCTTGTTTTTTTGAGAAAGGTAATGGAGATTCTATATTACATTTGAGCCGTAACAATTAGAAAGACTACAACTAATCTGCAAGCATGTAGGAAAATCCCCCTCTTAATCTCTCACCTCTCTTCCCTATCACAGAAACCAAGTGGAAAGAATTTCAAAATTTCACTTGGATTACTAAAACATTAACCAACCAAAAAACAAAGAAACTAATTAAGCCCAAATTGCAAGTAATGACATCAATCCCGCTCCAACAAAGAGACAGCAATAAGATACAACTTGGAGCCTGAAATCGCATCTCATCCTCTTACTTAGAAAATCAGCAGCAATTAGGTCAACCAAGGCCATGTACACCAGAATTCCGGCCGACATGGAATCCAAGATGCCTTCTGCGACCAAAGCTCCCGGACTGTACGGGTTGTAGAATGAGGAAATGGCAGTCCCAACGCCTATCCCGAGCGGAGTTGTGACGGCAAAAAAGCAGGCCATTAGGGTTGCTGATAGGGTCTTGAATTGTGCTTGAGATATGCAGCCTCCGAGTGCAAAACCTTCAAAGAACTGATGGAATGACAATGCTGCAACCAAGGGTCTTATGGTGCATGGGCTCTCTGAAACTCCCAGTGATAAGCCTATGATCACTGAATGTGATACAATCCCAAGTTCCAAAATCTGCACAAAAAACAATATATAACACCTCTACACTAACAATCCACCCACAAGCATGAATGTCTAGATTAGTCAACGAGCGTAACTGATCCTAACATTTAATAAACAAGATGAAATTTCAATAACTCATACTCAAAGATAGTATGACGACATAATATTTCAGATGCATATATATATATATAGGAATTGCTTAAGGGGAGGGATCCCCATTTTTTCAAAAAAAATGGGGGACACGCTCCCCACCGTTGGATTTGAATTAAATGAAATCCTGTGGTTGAGATTCTATGGCTGTGTTTTAATCTCAACCACACAATTTCATTAAAGTCAATCTAACGGTGGGGAGCGTGTCCCCATTTTTTCAAAAAAAATGGGGATCCCTCCCCTTAAGCTCCCTGTATATATATATATATATATATATATATATATATATATATATATATATGTTTAGTAATTTAGCACAATGCTATGTTAAACAAAATTTTTGTTCATATTATTAGAGGCAACAGAGGAAAGAAATTAAAACCCGGACCAGACAATTCCAATCTCAACTGCCCATATCCTTCCACATGGATGCCATCGGCATGAAAAAGTTTGAGAGGTTTAATCAACTTAATGAGATTAACTTTTATATTCGAGATGCCGTTCTTATTTTTATTATTTTGCTTTCTTTTTTAAGCGTTTATATTTTTAAATAAAGAACATTACTAAAATCAGTTGCACATACAAGTAGACATTCATTACTAAGATTAGCTCAGTAAATGCGATTGATTCATGGCCCTTAAATTAGAGAGAGAACTTGCCCAAATCAATCCAAATAGTGAATGTGTCACCATAACCACAAAGGTTAATACCTTTCAGTTCATGTTTTGAGTCTTTGACCTCCAAGAACACCATTACCATGAGTAGGCCCACTCGACCAAGATTAGTAGATAGTTTCACATGACACGTGGCAAAATGACACATAACCTTTACAAAATGTTATTACTCATTCCACTGAAGTTCACTGTCTTATTTATTACCTTTTAATAGATTTAAATTTCAAAATTTATATAATAGATAAATATAAATCTCGAAATTACATAAATCTCGAAGTTAAATTGACATTCGATGGTGGCGAACAAAAATGCACTTGCCTTTACTGTGCGAAGTAGACAAGCGAAACACCCTAAGCCACAAAAGTTAAAAAAGCTACATTCTTTTCAGCGCCACATTAAAGAGCAATAATTTACGCGCAAACAAATGTAAAGGCCGTAATACCTGGGAAACGACGACGTGCCGAACACCACCATCCTCGTCATCATCCCCGAACCCGTGAGAATGTCCGTGCCCGTGTCCGTGCGAATCGTGCCCGTGGCTCTGTTCGGGTTCCCTCGTCACGTGCCCATCACATGCTACCTGCCCATGCGCGTGGCTGTGTCTATGGTGCGCCGCGTGCGCATGCATCCCCACAATGTGCATCCCTCCGCCTTCCTCTTCCCCAAACACAATCCCATTCCACTCTTTCGCCGGCTGCCCCGGACCCACACGCGCCACAATCTCCGGGTCATCCGACCCGACGCGTACCTGGTTCTCGGCGGGCCGTGCCTTCCTCTGTTTCCTCTCGTAATACTGGGTCCCAACAAAGTCAACGAGCAACGTGGCAAGCGAGGCCATCATGGCGAAAAAACCGGAGAAGGGGAACTTGGTCCAGGGGAATTCGGGTAGGCAGGGGTTGTTCAGGGCGTCTGACCCGCCCGAAAGCATGTGGACGAACCCGGTGGCAAGAATTACGCCGGCGGCGAAGGCCTTGGCGGAGACGAAGAGGCTGCCGTCGGTGCGAAGAAAGCTGCGGTTCCTACCGACTAGGGGAATTGCGACTCCGACGACTCCTGCGACGAGAATCGAGGCGACAGCGATTAGCTTGAGGACGAGCGCCGCCGACTCGTCGCGGCAGGCCTCGAGCTCCGCGCTCTCGCAGCTCGTGTTGGACATGGACTGCAAAAGGGACTCTGTTTTGAGCAACAGAATTGCAAAAACAAAACAGATTTTAGAAACTCGAGACTTGTTCTTGTTCTTTAATTTGTTAATTAGGGTTTAATATTAATTTAATTCGATTTCAGAAATCCCAATTGGGATTTTCGGAGTGGAAGATGAAATTAATTAGTAATTACCTTTGAAAAGCCGAGACTTTTCCAGGAAACCTGGAGGGCAGAGCAAGGGCCAGAGATCCTACACAAAAACGCAGCGTTTGAATCAGAGAATTGCAGAGAAACGGGGAAATCGAGAGAGAGAGAGAGAACCTCAATGAACAACATGGGAATAGTAGTATGTGGGTTTTGTTTTCCTGGGTTTTATAAAAGATAGAATCTTGTGAAAACTGATGATCTGATTGCCGAACACGAATCCCGATAGAGTTGATTTCTTTCGATCAGGCGGAGGAGACGAGTTCGGTCATGGCGTGTTGGGAGAGAGAGAGATATATACAAATATTACAGAGAGAGGAGATGGAGGGAGAGAGAGAGAGAGAGAGAGAGAGAGAGACTGTCGTCACTTTTGGACGAAAGGGAGGGAGCGCGAGAGAGGTGGAGGCGTTGGGGTCGCGACTTCGTGCTAAAGTACGAGCGCGCGGGAGAGTGTCGACATTTATCGCACATTTTTGGAAGGTAAAAGTAAAGAGTAAATTGTACAAATGGTCCCTCAATTTTAATTAAATTGGAGTAATAATCCTTCAACTAAAAACTCATTACCATTGGTCCCTTAACTTATCAAAATGTGTAGCTATAGTCATTTTCATCAATTTTGTCAAAATTGTGTCAAAATAAGCTATGTTGGAATGACCATTTATATAATTAGGGTCCCTCAACTCATCAAAGTGTATAATTATGGTTCTTTTCGTCAACTATGTCAAAAAATTTGTCAAAACGAGTTATATTGTAAGGACCATTGCTACAATTGGATTAAAGTTAAAAGACCATTTCTCCACTTGAATTAAAGTTCAGGGACCAATGGTAATGGATTTTTAGTTGAGGGACCATAGCTTCACGTTTTGATAAGTTGAGGGACCAAAGATAATAGATTTTTAGTTGAGGGACCATTGCTCCAATTGAATTAAAGTTAAGGGACCATAGCTACAATTTACTCTAAAAGTAATTAAAAAGATGGTGAGTTGCTATATATAGATGAGTGTGAGTCTGTGAGATGATTCGCGAACGATTTAGAGCTCGTTTGTATGTGTTTTTAAAATAACTAAAAGCGCTTTTGATGAAAATATTTTTGGAACCACTCCTTAGTAAAAATGCAAGAAAATCATGGAAAATCACTTAAAGTGCTTCCTGGAAGAAGCACGTAACTAATGCTTCTTGCAAAAAGCACTTAAAGTACTTTTGTAACCTAAAAATATTTTCTCTAAAACGCTTTCAGTCATTTTAAAAGCACATCCAAACGAGCCCTTAGGCTTGTGAGGAAAACAGGTTCCGGCTTGTGTCTTTTTGGAGACTGACTGTTATTTCAGTTACGATTTATGAACTTTTATCATATAAATATCATAATTAGAATCATTCACTTGTTATTCTACTTACGATTTATGAATTCTTATTATACAAACATGATAATTGAAATCGTTCATTTTTCTTTATTATCGCCTAAATATGATATATGCAAAAAATTACTCAATTTGAAGATCTTTTAGCTATTAATATGCACAAAACAAATAAATGGTTCATCATAAGAAATGTACTTGTTATCAAGACCGTTAATTGGTTTACCATGTACTGATCTTTAAATTGAATGATTTTTTGCTGATATAATTTTTAAATAATGATAAAGATAATGAACAGTTTTGATTATAATGCTCAAATGCTAAAGTGTTTTTGTCACTTTTTTGTTTAAGACTATATTATTAAACAATTTTGGGCTCTTTTCCTGCACGTATTCTGCGTGTCATTGTAGTCACATTTTTTCTTTGAGTCAAAACCTTTAGAGGTTTTATGATCAAACTTACTTTGTCGGTAGGTTCAATATCTAATTATAACTGCTCGCTTATTATGTAGCCTAAGTTTATATCTCTCACTGGTAAGCATAGAATATTGTTGTATGTACAAAACGACTTTGTTTTGCTTGAATTTTTATTTTGAGTTTTGCGTTTGGAACTTACCAGTTACCCACTTAGACAAAAAAAAATTCTTTGTTACATATGCACATTAGCTTTCAAATTACACAAGACTAATTGAGAATTTGAGAGTCTCGATACAATGTATATACAAGCATTAGAAAGGTGTTACAAGTAAAGTCTGAAAATTCATAAATTTCGGGTGAAGTCAATCACAAATTTGTGAGATTCTTCAGTGTGCTCAGGATATAGGGCGGAACACCACATGTTATTATAAAATTGGAGGAAATTTTTTTTGTTTTCAAATGTCCCTCCAACTGTATATTTGTATAATGATATGTATTGTTCTGCTCCGTGTCTGGACGTTAAAAAGTTTTTTTTTTATAGTAAATATTTGAAAAGTGTTGTAAGCCTATTTGATTGAACGATCTAGAGTTTAGAGAGAGAGGGGGCCGGCCACTATTAGATAGAAGAGAAATTGATTTAATTGTGAGGTGTGTTTGATTCACTCTATTCTGCCATTATTTATAGTAGTAGGAAGGGTAAAACATTTCCCTTTAGTATTACAACATTTAATAGGTAATATAATTCTAATAGGAATATAAGATACAATCCCAGATTCCTTAGGATTTACACAATCACATTTCTATTCAAAATATGACTGCAACAAAAAGGTTTTTAAATGTTATGAATTTTGGTAGATTTTTAAAAGGATCCTTCACCTACTTACCTTGAGATTTGGTGAGAATTTATAACTCCATTAAATCTTTTAAAATCTCAATTTAATACAGTGATGCGAGAATTACTTGACACACAAATTAAACCCTCTTTTTGACAATTGTAGTATAGATGTAAGTAGGGTATCGTTCTAGGCCGGGGATTAGGAGGGATTGCTAATCTATTCTAAATTAATTTAAAAATATTAAACAAGACTCAATGACACAAAACTAGGCTAAAAACTCTAATAACTCGAAACACACTTAGAATGACTTAAAATAATGAAAACAATCAAATTAGACACTAGGAACTGAAATGGACGAAAATTAAATTAAAAGACTAACAATAAAGAAAACTAACAAAAAAATATAATTTAATAATGGATGGGTGTTTGGTTTTGATGAAAAGTAAATTAAACTTAATTAAATTACAGAATTGACAAAAACATGAAATTAAGGTGAAAGGATAGATGACGGACTAGCTAGAAGGTTCTTCTCCACACATGACACATATGCAACCTAAATTGATTTTTCAGTTGTTCTTTCAATAAATTGTAAATCTCAATGCCCCCAAATTAACCGTGAATTGCACTAATTAACCTTCAGTTTTTCCACAAGTTATTGGGTTGGATGATTGCATACGACAACCCAAAACATTCCCTACAAGTTCCCTACATGAATTGCATAATAGAGATACAAGCAAGAATCATTAAGTTCTATGAAAAACATAAGCATTGACGAGACACTCGTTACTATGATTTGCATGAAACTTATGCCAAGAATTTACTTAACGTGATTGTGACTAGCAACCTTTACTACTTGTGAATATAAGTTCATAACGATTAGGTGAAATTCACTTATATTCTAGCATCAAATTCATGCATGTAAATTAAGTATGCATCCTTAATCGACATACAAAAATAAGTTATAATCAAGCAGTTAAGCAAATTAAAATCACAACTCAGAAATCACAACTGAAGGTAATCAATTCATATTACAAATATATTCATGGCTTGAATTAACTTCTAGCCAAAATAAATTTAGTTACACATTATTATCAAATTAAACCAGAAATTAAACATAAGTTGGAAAGTTTTAACCGAAAGAGTAGAAGCTTGCTGTTTCTGTTTCTGTCCGTGCTCTCACGCTGGTTCTGCCCTCAGTAGGGCAGCTTTCCTTTCCTGCCCACCGCCTCTGCACGTCACCTTGTTTCACGCTGCCAAGAGCAGCAAGAGCTCTCGGTTCTCTCCCTCTGACTTCTGTCCGCACAGTTTTCTGTGCTGCCCGTGCCTTCTCGGTTTTCTGCTGCCGCAAGGCAGCTGTCTCTTCGTCCAGCCTTCTCTCCCCGCGTCAATCTCTCCCCACGCTGCCCACTTTGACTAACCTCTGGCTGCGCCAGTCTCTTGCTGCCAAAGGCAGCACCTAATCTCTCCCTTTCGTTACTGACTTGCTGACCAGTCCTTGCTCAAGCTGCCAAATGGCAGCCCCTATTCTTTCCTTCTGTGGACTGTCAGTCTCGCTGCTAAAGGCAGCTCTCTGCCTTCCACCAATCCCCCCCTCTTGCTGCTGACCCGCCAAGGCAGCTATAAGCTGCTTCTTATTTCCTTTTCTTTTTTATTTTCTGTCAGTACCCTCTTTGTTTATTCCCCCCGTGCTCAACTCCCCCTCCACTTAACTGCTTCTTATATTTTATTCTTCCACTAATCCATTTTGTCTGCCTGTTTCTTGCTTTTATCATTTTCTGTTTCTTTTTTTCTATTTGCTTCACCAACCACACTGCCAAAATTTGTAATACAATTCCTCCAGAGACCAAAATTACCAAGGCAGCAAGTTTTCCAGTGTGCAAGCAAGCACTAACCTGAAATCATGTGGTGCTTAAAATAAATATATGGAAAGCATAACTCAGCAAATTGACAATAGCAAATAAAAGAAAGCAGTCATGAAAATAACGTAAATAGATCTTATTTGTGCTATTTTTGTTTTCTTTACATAACAGATCTTATAAACACAAAAATAACATAAATAGCTCAAAAATATAAGGAACTAACTAAGAAAAGACGAGTGAATTTGAAGTAAAAATATACATAAATATGATCCGATCATACAGCTTATGTAATAATCTTGCTAGTGTCTCGTATTTAGCATGTAAGTTCCACTCCCACACGTAAAAAAATTGGTAATGAGTCAATGAAAGCAATTTAGACGTAAAAGATTCGTAAAACATGATTAAGTTAATGATTTTTTGGGCCAACTATATCCGAGTAGGGCAATGATCACGAACTTTCATTCATACCAGAACAAATTCGTGATCATATTTAAGGTGTTGGTAATTTCCGCTAAAACAAACATTAACTCAATCATAATAATAATATATCAAATTGACAAATTCGTACTCTATGTTAGTGTAATTTGAGTTCTTTTAAGAGGCTTTTAAATTTTAGGGCTTCAATAAGATTGTTTTTAGATTTTAACCTGAATGGTTTTCAAAATCCAATATTAATCCCTATTTTTAAAGCTTACCATATTTAAGTAATTATAACACATATCTTATTTTTAAACTTACCATTCGAAACTCTTTACTCATCCATAATTAATGTTTTTTTTGGTGCTCCAATCATATTAATATATACAAATTTATTCAAAATTCAAATTCTTATTATTAAAAAAAATTCAACAACAAAACAAAAATAATTTATACATAACTTTCGGCACCTTATTTTATTCATAGGTACGGAAGTATCGGTATGAATATATCGGTACATTACTATTAACTTTAGGTACCTTATTGTACTCATAGGTATAGAAATATTGGTTCGTAAGTTTCGATACGAATGTATCGGTACATCATTTTCGGTACGAATGTATCGGTACTTAATTATAGTATCTAAACATACGTATGTACGTACGTATATGCATATACATATATAAGGACAAAATCACGCACACTAAAAAATATATGATTTTTCTTATTACGGAAACTTAGTAATAACTATTAATGATAAATAACATTTTTATTGTTTATTGGAATCAATATATAACCTACAAACAAAAAACTCAATAATTATTCTAACCTATTCAATATTAAATTACAATTAAATGCCAATGATTAGAATTAGTTTTTAATCTTAAACAAGGTTTTATTCAAAAAGTAATCTTAGAGAAGGATTAGAATAGATTTTTTCATTTTTTTAATAACAAAGAGGAAAATCTTAAACCGTAATGTCAATGACAAAATTTATCAAACTGTAGAACACCTCGCCATTTCGAAATGGAGCCCATCTCATCTCATGAAGCTCTTTCAGCCTAATAGCTGGGTTGCACAAACCTACAAGTTTTCAAGAATTTTTTCACATCACTGCATCTTACCGATAAAAACCCTTTTGGGGTGGACTTAACCTCACAATAGGCTAGTAATAATATGATCTGATCAATTGTTTATTAAATATTAATTTCTTTATTTTTAAACACATTCAAAACATCCTAAAAAGCGTGTAATGCCAGTTATAAAAAAAGTATTTCGCACGTGAATAATAATGTGATTAAATTAATTGTCAATTTTTTTTTAACATTCGATATTATCTACACTAAATGGGAGGAGGTGAGCTTGGCCTCACAATGACTAGTAATAATGTGTTTTAATCAATTGTTTATTAAATATTATTTTCTCTATTCTTAATGTAAATTCTATAGAAACCGATTTTATTATGTGAATTCAGCTACTTTAATTAGTTTATGAGAGGTTACTTCTGGCATGATTTTAAGTGATTCATTTACTTCAAATATTTGACTTTCCTTTTGTCAATTTACGCATATAAATACATTTAAAATATGCAAGTCGCGTGTAGCACGCCGTGATTCAAAAAATACCTTTTGCACGCGCGTGCATAAAGGCTAGTGTGTGTGTATATATATAATTTATATATTTATTATTGAAATCTCTAACACTTGGCACCAGTCACTCCTTGATATGTATACCCGATCAAGAATCCAAGATATAACACTTCAAGCTCGGGGAGATTTCTCACCATCATGCTTAAATTGGGGTTCTCAAGTTTTAAGTGACTTTCAAAAAGATCAAGAACAATCAACCTTGTCAAGCGGGAAATCTCAATCGGGATTTGCCCCGAAAAACCAGACACGCTTGTTTCTTAGGAATGAGGATGAAATTTCTTCGAATTCCCTCTTGATCAGCAGCTAGTGACTCAGTGGTAAGGGGAAACTTCCTTATGGTCGACACCATCAATTTATTCCAAACCATTCAAAAGAGCATACGAACATGACCAAGAATTCTATGATCAACCCTGTTTTTCTTGTCTTCATCTTACTCTTCTTCTTTACCAGGTTTGGTCAAACCTTTCAAAAAATTTAACCATTTGCCAATTATAACTGTTTGAGCAAAACCCATAAGTTGCATTAATTTACTTTGTGAAGAAATGTTCCACGTCGAAAGTTAAGCAAACCCATTCACGGGAGTTTAAGGAGTTGGAGTACTTCATATTGTCAATTGGTTTTGTGGTGGAATGTCAACCTTGATTTTCCATCTTAAAAACAAGTACAAGAAAACTACTTAGTATAAAAACATCATTAGAGTATAGAGTATAAACCAAGTCTCCTGCTTTAGTTTAGAAGAAGGTTCATTGAATCAAATTCAAATCCGCTGATGGATGCCATTTCTTCAACACGAATGGATCAATGTAGCTGTGGCAAAACTGTCTTGACTCACTGTATCCACCATTACTTATTTTTCTTCTGAGGTAGATAATTCTTTACTCAATTCTTTCTTGTATTCGAATTATGAAAAACCATACCAGCTTGTTTCTTAGGAATGAATAGGAAAATCTCTTCCTGTATACAAAACGAAAAACCATACACGCTTGTTTCTTAAGAATGAGGATGAAGCTTCTTCAAATTCCCTCTTGATCAACAGCTAGTGACTCAGTGGTAAGAGGAAACTTCCTTATGGTCGACACCATCAATTTATTCCAAACCATTCAAAGGAGCATACGAACATGACCAAGAATTCTATGATCAACCCTGTTTTTCTTGTCTTCATCTTACTCTTCTTCTTTACCATACTGCTTTACTCAATTCTTTCTTGTATTCGAATTATGAAAAACCATACCAACTTGTTTCTTAGAAATGAATAGGAAATTTCTTTGAAATACCTCCTCATCAGCAGTCAGCGAGTCAGCAGTAGGGGACACTTCTTCTTCGTTTGAATATTCAAATTGATTGTTGTTATATTAAAAATCCTACTGACTATCATCTTATAAATAAGTTTCCTAGTCTCCCTCACCCCGGGCCATGAATTCCAAACCTTCCAAGAGAGAGTTTTCAAACATGACAAAAAACCCTATGATCAAACTCGTCTTTCTTTTCTTCATATTCTTTAGGATTTTCTTCGTCGGGGCACAAAACACAACATTAATCCCAGTACATGTGGGAGTGGTTCTTGACTTGGACACCGGGTTTGGGAAAATGGGGATGAGCTGCATTGACATGGCCCTCGCCGACTTCTACGCCTCTCATGCAGGCTACAAAACCAGGCTGGTCCTACACAAAAGGGACTCTGCAGAAGATGTTGTTGTTGCAGCTACTGCAGGTTCTTTCTCTACCTCTTCTCTTTTTTGTGTGTTATTTTTTCTTCTCTTAAATATGTTTCACTATCTATTAAATATTAAAGGTGTTGATTCCCAATTGGTTCAAATGGTCGGGGTCTTCCATGTTATTTGGTGTGGTTCGGTACTTTCACTTGGAGATGCTAAATGTCTGTGATCTGTCACAACCTTCTGCTCAATATTAAAGGTGTTGATTCCCAACCGTATACCTCAAATCTAAATTCTGAGGGGGTGCAAAACAAACATGAGTGGACTAAGTTGATATACATATATAATAAAACAGTTATCAACATACTAACCCCAAAGTTTTATGAAAACTCAATGGTCTAATATGTAATAGGTTTTCTGAAAACCCTAGCATGCCATAACATAAAACGTATCTCGTATATAATGCTAACTAGTGGTATCAGTATTAGTATCTATTCAATTAGAACCCTTCATTTGCCAAACATGCCATTTAGAACACTTCCTTCAATTGCCAAACAAGCCCAACCTACGCCCGGCACGAAGCCAATATAAATATCATTGCCAAACAGGCAGAACAGTGACCACTAACTACGCACAAAACATTGAATATAGTCTTTTTAAACATAGGTACATATATCTAAAAAACATATTCATAGTATAAAGTTATCCATCATCTATACTATAAAAAAGTGTAAAAACATGTTCTAAATAGTATATCGTCATCCATCAGATATCTTACAAAGAACATGAGTTCGATAGAAAATATGATATTCCAAAATATTCTAAGTAAGCATAATATCTCATAAAACGTTTTATAAAACGAAATCATTAAATCATGTTTTTCATGTATGAATTTCTACTATTAAAACATGCATTTTAGAAGGAGTTCACTAACAGATACTCCATCGTAGATGAGCCGTACGAAATAGGAATAACATAATTGCTGCTAGTAATTGCACCTAAATACATAAATTGTACAATTAATAAAACTATATTATAACAATTGAATTTGGGGAAACAGAAGTAATAAACGGATTTAATAGTAGGAAGGGTTTAGGACGAAACCAGAAAAGTCAACGATCAACGGTCAGCGTTGATCGGGTCAAAGTCAATGGGTTTGGGTCGATCAACGAGTCGGGTCAAACCGGGTTGGGCCTAAAGGGTTAACTGGTTTTAAGGTTTTGGGTTTAAGGCCCGAATGGTTTAGGGTTTAGGATGAATAGGCCGAAGGCCCTAGGCTACACAAATAAGGGCTTGGGCTTGAATGCCAGGCCCAAAGGCTTTTGGATTTTTGAAAGAAAATAAATAATTAAAACGGGCTGGGGTTTGGGTCTAACGGGCCTAAGGCCTGAGTGCTAAACGGCCCAAAGGGCATGGGTTTGGTATCTCACCGGGGAAGAAGGTCGGAGCCTTCCTTGCTCCGGTCGACGACAAAACTCCTCTATACTCTACAATCTGACTAGGAAATCAAAGGTAGAGACAAAAAGGAAAGATCCTTACCTTTGGTTTGCCGTGAAAATGACGAAGATGGCCTGAAATCTGGGTTCAAGGGTCACGGGTGCGCCGAGGGTTTTCCTGGGTTTATGGGCTTCACCGAACTCCACAGAGGTGAGGGAGAGTGAGAGAAAGTCCACGAAGCTGCTAGTGGTGTTGCGCCGTAGTCGTGGTGGCTTGGGTGTGCGTGAATTCGATTGGGAAAGGGAGTGAGAGGGAGAGGTTCGAGAGAGAGATAAAGGGTGAAAAGGTAAAAGAGAGTGAGAGTTCCGAGAAAGATTCAGGGGAAGGAGGGAGGGAGAGAGAGAGAGAGAGAGAGGTGTAAGGTGCACGGGAAAGGGAAGAAAGAGAGGGAAATGGAATTGGGCCCCAGGGGACAAAACTAAAACACGTGGGCTTCACGGGCACACACATTAAGATCCAAAACAATTTTTAAAATTGGGGGTGGGGTTTCACAGTTATAATACTTCTTTTTTATATATATGCTATCAAATTTCAAGTTTTGTTAACTAACATGTGCGTGCTGTTCTTGTTCTTTTTCAATTCACATATTTTTTTTTGTTTGCTGAAATTGCTCCAACGCGGCTCATCCAAGTGACCCTAGTCAGTTAGGCTTAGTTGGGTAGAACCAAGTTTGTTCGGATCTGGTTGGGTTGGATTTGTATCATGATCAACCATTATAATTTTCTAGAAATGCTTATTTCTAGCTGAAGTTACATCAGAGTTTAATTAATTTCTATTTTTAACCTTTGAAACAGCTCTAGACTTGATAAAAAATGAGAAGGTGCAAGCCATCATAGGGTTAGAATCATCAATGCAAGCCAGCTTTGTAATTGAGCTTGGAGATAAAGCTCAGGTGCCCATAATATCATTTTCCGCAACAAGCCCTTCTCTTCAGGGTTCATACTTTTTCCGAATTGCGCAGAATGACTTATCTCAAGTTAAAGCCATTAGTAGTATCATCCAAGCCTTTGGTTGGACTGAAACAGTGCCCATCAGCGTTGACAATGAGTTCGGAAAGGGAGTAATACCGTACCTGACTACTGCTTTGCAAGCAGTTGGTGCTCGTGTGCCCTACTGGAGTTTCATTCCTTCAACTGCCACGGATGAGGAAATTGTTGCAGAGCTACGCAAGTTGATGTCAATGCGAACCAGGGTCTTCATAGTGCATATGTCCCTTTTTCTTGGCTCTCGGTTTTTCTCAAAAGCAAAAGACTTTGGCATGATGGATGAAGGCTTTGTTTGGATAATGACAAATGGGATGACTAACAGTTTTAGGTCCTCGAGTCCTTCTGTCGACATAGATGACATGAAAGGGGTGTTGGGTTTAAAGACTTATGTTCCCATTACAAAAGAGCTTGAAAGTTTTAGAGCTAGATGGCAAACAAAATTCCGACAAGACAATCCAGCTATCCCTAGTGTTAAATTGGATGTTTTTGGATTGTGGGCTTATGATGCTGCTTGCGCACTAGCCATGACAGTTGAAAAGGTTGGAACAACAAACTTCCGCTCCCAGAAGATGACCGATTCTGGCAATTCCACTGGTTTGGAGAGATTAGAGGTCTCTCAAAGTGGTCCTGAACTTGTCCGAGAATTATCATGTACAAGATTCAGAGGTCTTTCAGGAGATTTCAGCCTTATTAATAGGCAACTAAAATCATCAACGTTTCAGATTATTAATGTGAACGACAATGGGGAAAGAGGGATTGGGTATTGGACACCCAAAAATGGACTTGTAAGAAACATTAAATCGAACAAACATACAAGCAGATATTCTACTTCGAAATCCAATCTTGGACCTATTATATGGCCTGGGGACACCACCTTGGTTCCAAGGGGTTGGCAGAGTAGTAAGAACGGGACCTTAAAAATTCTAATCCCGGTGAAGATAGCGTATTATGAATTTGTAACTGTAAAACATGATTCTAGAACTGGCACAACTAATGTCAGTGGATACTGCATAGATGTCTTTAACGCTTTAATAGAGGCATTGCCGTACTCAGTTGCTTATGAGTATTATCCCTTTGAGGAGCCTAATGGTGAAAGAGCTGGAAGTTACAATGATATGGTCTATCAAGTAGCTCTCGGGGTAAAAACTCTTATTCTACGAGTGCTTCTTTCATTTTTCCCCTATTATTTTACAGTTTATTCTATCGACATTATGTAAACATTAGCACTTTTACTTGACAGAACTATGATGCTGTGGTTGGAGATATTACCATTAGAGCAAATAGATCCTTGTATGTTGACTTTACATTGCCGTACAGAGAAGCGGGGGTATCAATGGTTGTGCCTGTCAAAGGAAACAATGGTGCGAAAAACACCTGGGTGTTCTTGAAGCCCTTGACCTGGGACCTTTGGGTAACCAGCTGCTGCTTTTTTATTTTCATTGGTTTTGTGGTCTGGTTTCTTGAACACCCAAAAAACAAGGACTTTCAGGGGCCTCCACATCACCAAATTGGCACAAGCTTTTGGTTCTCCTTCTCAACCATGTTTTTCGCACCTCGTAAGTTCCCATCATGTTAATCATTCTTTAGTGATCATTGATGCTGTAGAAACAATTGATATGCACTTTATGAACTAAGCAAAGCAATTGTTTATTTGACGACTCGTTAATGCCGTATCTGTTTTGAAATTTTGAAACAGGGGAGCTAGTGTTGAGCAACTTGGCTAGATTTGTGGTGATCGTTTGGTACTTTGTTGTTCTCATACTAACGCAAAGTTATACTGCCAGTTTAACGTCAATATTAACAGTCCAGCAGCTCCAACCAACCGTCACTGATATAAACACGCTCATTAAGAATGGGGACAAGGTTGGCTACCGACGAAATTCTTTTGTTTATGGGATTTTGAAGCAAGTAGGATTTCAGGATGATAAACTTAGGGCCTATTATTCTCGAGAAGAATTGGATAAACTTCTTCGAGACGGGAATGAAAACGGAGGTATTTCCGCTGCTTTTGATGAAACGCCCTACATGAAACTTTTTGTTTCAACTTATTGTTCAAAATATACCATTGTCGAGCAAACATTCAAAACTGATGGTTTTGCATTTGTAAGTCCACTTGTTCTCTTTCTGGGCTTCTCTCCCTTAACTAGTACATGTTTTCTGATGTGTGATATTTTTTTTTCCGTTGGGTTACATGCAGGTCTTTCAAAAAGGTTCGCTTCTCACGCGTGATTTTTCAACCGCAATCACTGTAGTGCACGAGGGAGATAAAATGATGGCCATCGAAGATAAGTGGTTGAAGAAAAATGAAAGTTGTTCAAACTCCGACACCGTGAGAAGTTCCAACACTCTTAGTCTTGATAGCTTTTGGGGCCTCTTCATCGTTGCTGGTGTTGTTTCATCACTAGCAATCCTCGTATTTACAGCTATATTCCTCTATGAGCATAGCTACATCTTTACACGCGCAGATACAGAAGCCTCATTTTGGACAAGAATTCATGAAATATTAAGAGTATATTACGGAAAAGACCTGACTTCGGATATTTCTAGGAAGAGCACGCTGCAAGATAGTGATCATGGTATTGCTGCGGCTGAATCTTCACCAAACAGCAGCTGTCCCCCAAGGTCATCATCAAGCTCTCCCGACCCCACTGGACCGCACATTGTTCATCAAGAGCTGGTGGGAACTCATAATTCTTCCGTGCATGGTGGTGATCTGAGTCCCAATGGTCAAGTAACCCAAGACAGTAGTACTCATGAATATGGTATTGAGTTAACTTCCTCCCCAAGTGGTGAGCGACAGAACTAAACCCTAAATTAGAATACCCATTTTCCAAGAAAACTATTGGTTGTTGTGTCAATATATATTCTCCATGTTGCAGTCCTACTGTATTAGGATTGTGATTGTGTAAATGCTAGGATTGTGATTGTGTAAATGCTAGTGTATATAGGAATATCTTTGTATATTCACTTTAGTAGTTAAATTCCTATTAGAGTTGTAATCTTATTAGGGTAATGATTTAACCTATCCTACTACTATAAATAAAGGTACAATGAGGTGATACAATACACCTCAGAATTACATCTCTCTTCTCTCTCTTGCTGCTGGCCTCTCTCCCTCTCTGTCCTAAATACAGTTCAATCAAATAGACCTACAACACTCCTTATATTGTTTTTCATCTTAATTAATGACTTATGACATTAACTAACAATTTTGCTAAGCAATCAAGTCTTAATTAGAAAAAGAAAAAAAACTTAGCATAATTGGGAATATTTCTATCTAACTTATCATGTGTCTATGTCAGGTGATAAATGAGAGAGAGAAATGCAAATATTTTTCGATTAATGTAAGTGTCTTTCAATAATTGGATACATCAACTCACTCATCATATAATAATCAGCAATGGAATATGAGTGTGTTGAGTAATCTCAACTACATTTCTTGAATTTTAAGTGACCCCAAATTCCATATGCTAGAAGAAAGATGACTTATTTTTAGCCACGCATCTTGGAACTCGATTTTTTAATCTCTTTTTAGTCCCTGTAATTCAAAAGTCATCACTTTATTCTCTAAAACTCAAAAGTCACTTCATTTTGCCACAGGGAACTCGATTTTGATCTCAGTTTGCCCCTTGAAACTTGAAAGTTATCTCTTTACAACTCAAAATTTGCTCTCCATTGCTTTAGATCTATTAATTTCTTATGTGGGTTTGATTTGGACGAGTCAGGCTAATCAATTTTTTTTTTTTCATCTATTCAATTTCCTTTAAAACTTAATTTTCTCTAATTGTTGAATGTTAACACATAATGAAATTTATAATCATATTTATTGCACATGTAACATAGTCTTAGTGAGTGTTGATCCCACATATATTTTAGGAATGGTAGTTAAAAATAAGCCAAGAAAGATTAGACAAAGCGTTAGAATGCAATTAAAACTACAGAGTTAGACAAGTCTTTCCGCACATAAAAAGGATAAAATTAGGGAATCGTTATTAGTACTTCAAAAATCTTATTTGGCACTCAAAACTTTCCATAATTAGAAAGAAAAATACATTTGTAAGGAGTGTAGAATGAGATTTTTTGAGTGCTAATAACAATTCCCTAAAATTAAAGGAAAACTAATAAAAAAAAGGCTTGAAAACTTTGAGTTTTAACTAAAATGACAAAAAAATATTGTAAGTGAATAGTACTAAGAATGACTTCAGTAAAAATGTCATCAACGTTAAAAGTGAACAGTACTATAAGTGATTGATTAAAACTCCCTAAAATTAAGTCTAACAAAATTGAAACAATAGACAAATTAAAGGAGAAGATGATTGTTCATCTTCTTCT